TATATGAGATAATAATGCAAAATGTTAGCATGATGCATAGCATATGACAGATGCTCAACAAATAGACATTATTAATACACATAAGCATGTTACCATAATCCAGAGAAACTCTCCAATGGATTGGTTTAGTTATTTGAAGAAATATGCTTATAACTTCTCTTATTCTCCTTTATCCCATAGAGTAGTTTAAATGAAAGGAGATCTAGTCTCACTTTTAATCCTCCTAGATGTAAATATTAAAGGTTTCCTTATACTTTATATTATGCTCTGACAGCTTTTTCATTCATTGATAAAAGGACTGTGCTGCCATAGAATGAAAACATTGAGTAAAAACTTCCATAATGCCTTATCAAAGGAATTGAAGAGTTTTAACAAACATAAAAGGAACCTGCTGTGATCACTAGGATGCTACATGGATTTATTAAGAAGGCTAAGTTACTTTTCATTTTGGACAGGATTACTGGATTACATCTGGAGAATATGACTAGTGTGGCATAAATGAACTTTTGCTTGGCAGAAGGCTGGATCTTTCTTGATGTTCTTATGATAGTGCACAAGCAGCCATATGGGCCAGATTAAAACCAGGTTGAATTACTACATCTGACATGTGCTGATCAGTTACCCATTTAAGGGAGGTGGTGCTTGGTATGCTCTGAGACTGCCTATATTTCAATCTGTCTGTTTCTTTTCTTTTTTTTCAATGGTTCAAATGAAAATATGGGTAGCATGTTTATCAAATGTGTGGCTAGCATTCATTGTAAACAAAAAATTGTCTGTGGTGCAAGAAATGTAGCAGTAAATAAAGACAGACATGGCTCCTATTGTAGAGCTATCAAACGAGGTAACAGAATTAGGAGCTAAAATGACCTCAGAAGTTTCTAATAATTTAATTAAATTTAATAGGGATAAATAACTAGTCTTGTATTTAGGCAAAGATTTGGCTTAGCAACAAAACCTTTGAAAAAGACTTAGGATTTTTTGGCCGGGTGCGGTGGCTCAAGCCTGTAATCCCAGCACTTTGGGAGGCCGAGATGGGCGGATCACGAGGTCAGGAGATCGAGACCATCCTTGCTAACCCGGTGAAACCCCGTCTCTACTAAAAAATACAAAAAAACTAGCAGGGCGAGGTGGCGGGCGCCTGTAGCCCCAGCTGTTTGGGAGGTCGAGGCAGGAGAATGGCGTGAACCTGGGAGGCGGAGCTTGCAGTGAGCTGAGATCTGGCCACTGCACTCCAGCCTGGGCGACAGAGGGAGACTCTGTCTCAAAAAAAAAAAAAAAGAAAAAGACTTAGGATTTTAGTTGACAACATGCTCAATATCTGTCCAACAGTGTGATTCAACTTTCCCTCCAAAACTCCAAAAAAGCTAACATAATTTTAAGCTGCATTAATGGAAGTGTAAACTATGGAATAAGTTCTATAGAATAAACTATAGAATAGTAATTCATATTTTTTCCTCATCCTAAACACTGAAAAATATTACATATGTATACTTCAATGAATCACTAACTACAGTGACCTCCTAAGCATGATTTCCTAAGAAACTATGTTTCAGAATCTTCTTGGGGTAGAGAGAAGACAAAGGGTACATAGTTTGAAGCCATATCTATTCTCTGGAGATCTAATAAGTTGTCGGCTTACACATAGGTAAATATCACACATGGGGGGCACCTATGAGAATGTGGAACACATGTGAGTGTTTTGCGGTGAATTCTTGAGCTAGAGGATACCAGTGTTGTAAAAAATTTCTTTTAAGATGCCTTTCTGTCCAATGACTTTTATTATCTAAGCATATTTTTCTTCCTTATATAAATATATGGCTTTGTCCCCAAAGCCATATATTTTTCTAAGGTTTAAGGGATGGTAAGGGACAGGTTTTTATCTGCAACCTCAGGGTACTGCAATCTCTCTGTCTACATGTTTATGTGTATATATGTATGTTTTAGGTAATCACTAGACAAATTTAATTATTTTTGATAAAAATTTTTGCAAAAAAGTTCATTACAAGTTTATTTTGAAAAAAATGATAAAAGACATTATGGTTAAAGAATAGAATTTATAGTAAAATGTTTAAAGTGTTTTTTCACTCTTTCTTGATTTGAGAGTTGGTTTGGCAAGACTATGTAGCTATGAAATATTTAATATTTGCAGACTTAATGAGTGACTCAATTGCTGCTAATGTTTTCCCATGTTTGGGGTAGTTATAATTCTCACACCAGAGAAGAAATTAGAAGATTGTTGCCTGCCCTAGTTTGCATATTTGTATACAAAGGGAAGAAGAGGTAATCATCTCCTTTCTTCTTCAGGGAGAAACAATCAAGAAACATGAATAAATAAAATGAACTAGCTGTGTTGTCCTCAATAGCAGATCTATGTCACTTCTTACCTCCTTCCTACTCATTTCTCCTGTATAGTAAAATACAGTTCACAGAATAAATGATATTGTTTGTATCATTTATAAATGAAGACTGACCTATATGAGAAGTGTTAAAAACTCCACTACATTTTTACATTCGAAATTATTATTGTTATTATTTTTTTTGAGATGGAGTCTCGCTCTGTCGCCCAGGCTGGAGTGCAGTGGTGCAATCTCAGCTCACTGCAAGCTCCGCCTCCCAGGTTCACGCTATTCTCCTGCCTCAGCCTCCCGAGTAGCTGGGACTACAGGTGCCTGCCACCAGGCCCTAATTTTTTGCATATTTAGTAGAGATGGGGTTTCACCATGTTAGCCAGGATGGTCTCGATCTCCTGACCTCGTGATCCACCCGCCTTGGCCTCCCAAAGTGCTGGGATTACAGGCCTGAGTCACTGCAACCGGCCTACATTGGAAATTATTAACAAACTTTTCTGAAAAGAAAAAAACCCTCAAGTTTAGTTCTGTTGCTAAACATAGCTTAAGCCTGTTCAAATTCAACAGAGGTCAGAAAGGCATATTATCTCCATATTAGCAGCCTATTCTTCTCTTGGAGAATATCTAAGTATGCAAGGAGATCCAAGAGAAGATGGGTTATCAGAATGTGAAGAGTAGTTGCCTGAGGCCAAAGTTTGGAGGAAGTATCTCTGTTCCGAGATTTTCCCTTGAAAAAATACGTATGGAAAGTTAGATTTTTTGAAAACGTATAATAATATAATACTTATATTCCATTTGCTAGAGTGTTAGTTTCTGAAGTGCTTTCTTCTACAGTCTCATACTTTTGATAGACATAAAATTCTAACATCCCTAAAATTTTCTAAAAATAAATTCTATGTTCTATAAATATGAATATGAACATAACTCTTACTACATGGAAATTAGTCTGTGAATGACCTGGGAAGGAATTTAAAGAATCAAATGAAAAATTCTTTAAGAAATGAAAATAAGCTATGTGCCTCCAATCTGATTACCATTTAACTGCCATATAGGTATGATTTGGTCTCATCATTGCATTTGATACTAGCAACCATGCGCCTTCCTTGAGTGGTTTATCATGTTGGAGTCTCTTTGTTATGACCCTCTCATTGCTCCTATTTAGTCTCCTATAATGACTCATCTTCGTGAGCTCATTCAACAAATAAAGACATTCCTTCAGGTCCTGTTCTTAAAAACTCAGTTGTTGAAAAAGCAGTTATTGAATACCCTCCACGTGCCAGGGACTATATTGGGTGCTAGGGAGAAAATGAATGAGAATACATGTGGTCTTACTCTTACAGAGCTTGTACTCTGTTGGGGAGAAGATGACATGAAAGAAAGTATTCCAAAAAGAGTTAATTACAAATATTGATAAGTGCTTTGAAGGAAAACTACGGTGCACTATTATAAGCAATATAACAAGGGGATCTTTTTGAGGCTAGGGAGGGCCTCTGAGGAACTGATATTTGAGTAGAGATCTGAAAAGTGTATAAATAAAAAAGTACATGCAGATGCCAGACACAGTGGCTGAGGCCTGAAATCCCAGCACTTTGGGAGGCCAAGGCAGGCAGATCACCTGAGGTCAGGAGTTCAAGACCAACCTCGCCAAGATGGTGAAACCCCGTCTCTATTAAAAACAGAAAAATTAGTGGGTGTGGTGGCGGGTGCCTGTAATCCCAGCTACTTGGGAGGCTGAGGCAGGAGAATGGCTTGAACCTGGGAGGCGGAGGTTGCAGTGAGCTGAGATCATGCCTCTGTATTCAAGCCTGGGCGATTGAGCAAGACTGCCTCAAAAAAAGAAGGTACATGCAGAGACCCTGTATTGGGAGGGAGGATTTTATACTGATGAAAGTAAAGAAGGCCATCAAAGTCAGAGCACAAGAAATGGAGGGGAAGAAAAGTGTGGGAGGAGGCTGAAGTGACTGCTATTCACATCATGGAAGGCCCCAAGAGTAGCTCTTCCACTTCCACAGCTTCAATTCTCAGCTCCACACAAAAGGCTCCCATCGCACACTGGGGCCTGCCGAGGGGTGAAAGGGTAGGGGAGGATCAGCATTAGGAGAAATACCTAATGTAGATAACGGGTTGATGGGTGCAGCAATCCACCATGGCACATGTATACCTATGTAACAAACCTGCACCTTCTGCATATTTACCCTAGAACTTAAAATATGATAATAATAATAAAAAAAGATTCCTATGACTGTCTTAACTGTTAGCATCAGTACTAAATTTCTGACTGATGGTTGAATATCTACACGTGAATGTTTTCATGTCACCTTCAACTCAAACTCATTATCTTTTATCTGGACAACTGCAGCAGTCTCCTGATTGGTTATCCAGATGCAAACCTCTCTGCTTTAACCAACAGAAACCAGGGTGCACTAAGTTCAAACCAGAGAACAGGTACATGTATCTATGAAGATCAATAGGACTTCAATAGTTCAATGCCATGCAGTCTTAGCACCTAAGATCTCCATTTGATTAGTATTGCTTTAAGTAACATGTAAAAAACTCCTTCCAAATTCTTAAATATCAAGTTTCATAAATACTGAAAACTGTAAGTTAAAAATGAAGCACTACAATCATACATTAAAATACATGACAGCATTGTTTTAGAAAGTGCACAATTTATTACATTTATGAGTTCATAATAAAATGGATACTTAGGAACTTTAAAAATGAGTTAGAAGTAACAATTAGATGTAAAATTTTCAAATCTTGGAAACTGAAATATTAAATTCTAGAATTTTCTTAAAAACTCTTTCTTATGAAAGAGAAATTTGCATAGTTTGAAAATTATTATAGCCTTTCAAGGGAAAAAGGAGGAATTAAAAAACAGACACGTTGATGAAGGCAATGAGTTCTTCTCAGCTGGTTTATTCTCCACTGAAGCTCAATATAGGATTATATTTTCTTTACTTACAGGAAGTGGTCACTGCTCTGTTTTCCAATAACCCTCAAAACAGAATAACAATGCTTACGCAAAATAACACAAGCCTTAACTATTATACTCTGCAGGCTTTACCATTTCAATACACTTCTAGTCCAACTGCTTTCCCAACTCTAAAGTTCTGTGAATGAACTATGAATATTTTTAAATATTTTCCAGATTCATCAGGGAGGCTGCTTTTCTTCTCTGCACTGTAATCACACTGAGCTGCAATTAAAATAAACAATCGGTAAGTAGTTACTTTTTCTGTGGAAAATCTTAGATTAATACAAAGTAGAATGCATCACAACCTATAAGTACTGAAAACGGTCTTATTGGAAAGGGTTTTGTAAACGATCTTTTTCTTTTTGAGGCAGTCTTGCTCTGTTGCCCAGGCTGGAGTACAGTGGTACAATCACAGCTCACTGTAGCCTTGACCTCCCAGGGTCAAGTGATCCTTCTGCTTCAGCCTCTTCAGTAGTCACTTTGCCTGGTTAATTTTAATTTTTTTCAGAGACAGGGTCTCACTATATTGACCAGACCAGCCTTAAACTCCTGGGCTCAAGCAATCCACCCACCTTGGTCTCAAAGTACTGGGATTATAGGTGTAAGCCTCTGTGCCCAGTCAGTGATCGTTTTTAAATTAATATCTATTTTACTCTTAAAACTTTAAAATGTCTATTACATTAGAGAAATGCAGGTCAAATAAGACATTCGATAGCTCAGGGTTGATATGCTTAGAATTGTAAAACATATTCCAGATGGATGAAAAACATCTAGATAAAAGTTAATCAGGAAAGTTTCTAAAACACAAACTAATGTGAGCCAACACAATGCAAGGCTGATAATAAAGTGATGATAGATCTTAACAAGAAAAGTCTAATAGAAAAATAATCTTTAAATGTTAGTAGGAATTGATAATATATACACATGGTAAAAAAAAAGATCTAACAGTATGAAATGGTAGACAGCATAAAGGAAGTCTCATTCCCATTGCTGTCTTTCATTCCAGACACCTCTCCAGATACAACCAGTATTTCCAGTAAGGTATGCTTCCAGAAATATTTTAAATGAGAATATATGTATTTCTTCTTTCCTTTTATTTAAAAAATGATGAAAGAATTATAAACACTTTTCATCTTGTTTTCTTTTCTTCTAAATTATCTACCTTAGAAATAGCTCTATATTAGGACTATTATACTTTATTCTTCTTAATAGCTGCAAGCTATTCCTCTGTATGAATACTCCATAATTTAACTAGTCTGCTATTGTTGGGTATTTGTATGGTTTTTAATCTTTTAAAATGACAGACAACGCTTCAATCAGTATTTTTACATGTTTGCTTCCTGGCAAAAATGTTTCCAGGTGCAAGTATGGGTCAAAGGTTACATACATTTACAGTTTTTGAAAGATACTGCCAAACTGTGCTCTGGAGACTGTACCAACATGTGCTTATATCAGTAACGTGTGAGACTGCCAGCACAATGCTTTTCCAAACTTCACGATCTGATAGGTGAAAAATGATGTGATTACAGTTTACATCTGTATTTGTCTTATAGGTGAGGGTGAACATCTTTTTAAATGGTTAAAAGCCATCTGTCCTTCTTTCTCCATAAACTTCCTTTATATATTTGTCTACTGGACTGTAGCATTTTTTGAAAACTTAGGCATCCTTCGTATGTATTTAGGGCATTAGCCTTTTGTCATATATGGTACAAATATTTTTCTCGGTTTGTCACTGACTTTATGACTTTTTCTGATATAGATATTTGAAACTGTGAACATATTTATTATTTTTTTTCTTAGCTTCTAGGTTTTGTGTTCTTGCATTGAAAGGCTTCACCACACTGATTTAAAAAACTCATATGTTGACAGATCACAGTATGGCATTCAACCATTTAGAGTGATACACTTAGAATGGATGAATAACATGTAGAGAAAGTTAATCAGAAAAGCACATTTAGAGCAAAGTGAATCAGCATGATTCAGGGCTTGTATTGAACCAGTAACACGATGCTGCACTGCACTATGGTAAGTGTGATGTGTCAGAGACGATAATAATTTTAAAATTTTTCTGCATTTTGTTAATATCATGCATTTAGTAGGATATTATTTCTAATAGCACTTTTTCAGTTTTTATAGGAAAATTAGAAGATTCAGAGAGGGCAAATATAAAAATTAAAAAAATAAAATGTACATCTTACAAAAAAAGTTGATCACCTGGACTCATATAAAACAGAACAAATATTAACTCCAGGGAAGAAATTCCTTTTTGGGTAAGGGGAAAGTGCCAAATGATTACCTTCCATCTTCAAATAGGAACAGAAGGGAAGGAGACAAGCTTAGGGAAAGATTTGTTACAGAACAATTCGTGAAGTGGTTACTGACAAAACATTTTAAAAAGGTTACTTAAAAGAATGGTGGAATCTTTCCCATTGGTGAGTTTAAACAACAGAAGAAACATCAGTACTAGACTGTTTAGGTTTAATTTTTTCAGGGAGGAAACTAATCTAGCTGCTAACTGGTTATATAATTAATGTCCTGTAATTGTACCGTTTTTACTATAGAACTCAAGGTAGCTGATTTTACGTAGACATTTTCTTTGCCATTTGCCTTAAAAAAGGTAAATGAGAAGCTTTAAAGATTATCATATAGAAATTTAATTTCTTATATATCCTTCTAAATATCTACTTATCACTAAGGGAAATGCTTTACATGTGTTAATTCTTTTGATCCTTTAATAACCATATAAGGGAGGTGTTATTATCCTATATTAAACATGAGGAAACTGAGGCTTAGAGAAGTTGAAATTGCCCAAAGTCACATGACTACTTAATGGCACTAAATGGCACTAAGGGATTTGCCTGACACAGAAACACATACTCTCCAGATACTGTCCAGTGCACCTAACTTCTGTTACCTTATAACCTAAATATGTTCTTAAATAATTGGCTAACCCATTAGTTAATTCATAACTTCATCAGACATAAAAATTATTTGAAAAGACTGTAATTACTTTCAAGAGGGAGAGGAACAGAAGGATAAATTATCACTAAATTTTCTTTAAGTGGCATGCCATGTTCGTAACAGAAGTAGATTTTTAAAAATCTGTAAATATCATGAACATAAACTGAATTCAGCAAGCAGAGTGGCTTTACTATGTATAAAATGCTGTAGTATTTAAGAATATTAATTTTGATTGAAATAATAAATTTATAAGCAAATATAATTAATAATATAGTAACTTGATTTGTTTTTGTTTTCTTGCTTGCCCTATGTATCCATCCATTTGAACTGTCTGTTTCTAGTCTATCTTTATAATCACTGAACTGGTCTCATTTTGTTCCTCATAAGAGGGACTATTGCTCCTACTTTATAATCAAGGGCCCACTTCATTTATATGATGTGTGTGTATTAAGAGAAATTATCCCTTAGTATTTCATTGATATTCTGCATTTTCTACTCTGTTTCCCACTGGACAACTTTTATATTTTAGATTTTTTTGGTCATATGAAAATATGCATTAAGTAAATTAACCTGTAAGCCAAGGAATTTTTTTTCCACTGAAAAGTAAAATAAAAACAAAGGCAGAGATTTTGAAATATTACTTTCAAAGCAATATTATCTACTTTCAAATCTGTTAGTGAATATCTGCCTAGTTTTAGACAGAATATAATTCCAGAGCAGTGTTGTATAACAGAACTTTTTGTTATGACAGAAATGTTCCATATCTACGCTGTCCAATGTGATAGCCCTAGCTACATACGGCTATTGAGCACTTCAAATCTGACTAGTATGACTGAGGATCTCAATTTTAAATTTTATTTAATTTAAATTAATTTAAATATAAATAGTGGCCTGTGGCTAGAGGTTATGATAGTTAAGACAGTATATTTCTTTTCTTTCTTTTTTTTTTGTTGAGACAGGGTCTCACTCTGTCCGCCAGGCTGGAGTGCAGTGGTAGAAGCATGGCTCACTGCAGCTTCGACTTCTTGGGCCCAAGCCATCCTCCTGCCTCAGCCTTCTGAGTAGTTGGAACCACAGGTATGCACCACTATACTTGGCTAATATTTAAAATTTTTTGTACAGAAAAGGTATTGCCGTGTTTCACAGGCTGGTCTTGAACTCCTGGCCTCAAGTGATTCTCCTGCCTAGGCCTCCCAAATTGCTGGTGTTACAGTTGCGAACCACCACGCAGAGCTTATTTTTGTTTCCAATGTTTACTTTTTCAACCTCACATATTAAAGGGATTAATTTTAAAATATATTAATCTAGTAAAAATAAACTCTTAAGTTCTCTGGGAACTTCTAAAAAACTTATCTTATCTTTGAACTGTTTACTATCTAGGGATAAGAGGATGCTCCCTACCTGCTGGGAAGCTGAAGCAGCTCTCTCTTCTGCCTGACTCAGACGCCTTTGAAGTCTGTTGGCTTTTTCTCGATGCTCTAGAATTAGCTTTTCATTCTATTAAGGGGAAATAGAAAACAAGTTAGAAATCCATATGTGATATGGAGATGTTTTGTGGAATAATCAATGAAAAATCTGGACATCATTTTACCACTTATAAAATACAAATAATATTATCTCAAAATTTACATTTTTTCAAGTTATGAGCTTTAAAATAAAACTTAGCTTTACATTCTTAATAAATTGTTTTCTTTCTCCCACATGCCAGCAAAGAAGGTGAATTAACAAATCTCAAAGCAAAATGACTCAGAAGAATAAGACTTTCAATTTGTGAAGATCACTGCTTCAGAATCACCTGGACTGTGAAAACACAGACTGCTGGGCCTTACAACCAGAGCTTTAGTAGGGTTGGGATGAACTGTTTCTGTATGTTCCCCAAGACATCTGCATACTCCAGCGTCTATTAGGGTCAACACAGCTATTAGGTACTGTCATGGGTTAAATTGTGTCCTAACCCCCAGTACCTATGAATATGACCTTGTTTGGAAATAGAGTCCTTGCAGATGATCAAGTTGAGATGAGATCACTAGAGTGGACCATAATCCATATGACTGATGTCTTCATAAAAGGGGAAATTTGGACACAGAGACATACATGTACAAAGGAAAGACAAGTTGAACACAGAGAGAACACAATCTCCACGCCAAGGAATGTCTGAGGCTACCAGAAGCTGGGAGAAAGGCATGAAACAGATTCTCCCTCACAGCTCTCAGAAGGAACCAACAATGTCAACACCTCAATTTTGGACTTCTAGCCTCTGGAACTAAGAGACAATTATTTTCTGTCGTTTAAGGCACCCAGTTTCTAATACTTTGTTATGGCAAGAACTATACAGGCATCATGAATACAAAGCTGTCACAACATACTGTCATGCAGACAAGTCCAAATAATTTATCAATTAAAAAACGGATTAGCTATCTCCATACTTACTAGCCTGGTTATAGTACATCTGAGAAAGTATTTTTGTACAACTAGAATTGTTAAACAGTTTTTCTGGCACTTATCTGAATGAGATAATAATACAAGCCTAATCAGGAAGAGTTAGAAAGACACATTTTCTTTTTTTTTTTTTTTTTTTCGGAGTCTCTTTTTGTCGCCCAGGCTGGAGTGCAGTGGCCGGATCTCAGCTCACTGCAAGCCTACATGGAAAAGGGTTGGGATTACAGGTGTGATCCTCCACGCCCTACTAATTTTTTTTTTTTTTTTTTTTTTTTTTTTTGAAAAACACATTTTCTATGAAGAATCAGAAACTTACAGTTCCCATGTACTAACATACAAGTGATAAGAATGAATGTTATGGCTATGACAGTAATATAAAATATTGAAATAACAGTATCCTGCTAAAATGAGCTTATTATATTTCTTATTATGCCCCAAAGTAAAATTAAATGTTATGAAGAGAACTATATTGGCTGGTCCAATTTACCAAGATGTTTAAATCTGTAGCCTTTAAATTTTAAGAAGCACATCACATGCTAGAGAAAACATGGGGGAAAAATTCTATCATCTGTAATAATCATTTTCATATTTATAATCAGACTTCATATAATGCAACTTCTTCTATACTGCTACCATAATGGCTGAGGAACAGTTTAGATAGGATAAATCCTAATATATGCAACTGTTCCTTTTCTATTCTCATTTTGGTTGCTTTTGATCTTCCTATATTATTAACATTACTGTACTGAATATCTTCTTTTAAATTTTTCTGTATTGTAAATTACTTCATCAGAATAGATATCTGGAAGTGGGAGCTACCTGAAAGATTATTTTAATGGCTATTCCTTAAATAATTTCTAAATGGCTCATATCAATTCATAATGCCATGATGCTTAGGAGTAATGATTTCACTATAGTTCCTATAGTAGACCACAAAGATGGAGTAGACCATATACTCAGGGAAATTCCAACAAACATTTGAAGTTAGAACATCAAATGAAGATTAACATCAAATGAAGAGATCTAAAAAGCCCCAATCATAATCCAAAAATTGTTTACTTTTTGAACGCCTCAAGGAAAAAAACTTGAACTCTTGCTATATTTAGTTCTAAGTCATAAATCTAAATATATTTTAATATATTACAGTAGGCAAAAGTATTTTTTATGTGATGTGTCTTTTGGGATGGATTAAAATGAAAAAAGATGAATGGGTTAAAAAATAATTTTAGAGATGCATAAGAATAAAGGGGATCCTAATACATTCTCTGAAATACTACAAAAGTTCTATTGGTAAAACAGAAATAAGAGCTCTACCTTTTATTATTTACATATGATGAATCTGATGAATCACTGACGTTCAAAGCTTTTATTCACATTATATTGCGTGTCGGCTTTTAGGGTTATGGATGATTTCTGTATTGTTATTTCCAAGTAGAGAAATAATTTGGATTTGGCTCAGGTAAAATTCTATAACATGTGTATCAAGCTGCAGCAGAAAGCACTTCCCAGGGGAGTCATTATCTTACCTCAACTACCTTTTCATTTGCCATTTCCAGCTGAGAAAGCAGCTCTTGGGTATGAAGTTTCTGTCGACTCAGCTCACTCCTATTAACCAAAAGACAGCACCAAAAAATCCATTAATATAATTGTTCCAAATAGAAAACAGAATCTTTATTAGCAAGATACATGTTCATGATTTGAACAAAAATATCATCTTCATGTGCAAAATAAAGTCACTTACTAACAGACCATACCTCAAAGGACTCATTTATTTCTTTTTAATAAAATACACATATATTCTAGAGATCGGTTGCACAACAATGTGTATATATGTAACACTATTGAATTGTACACTTAAAAATAGTTAAGGTGGTAAGTTTTATGTGTATTTTATCATAATTTAAAAAATTTTATCACAATTAAAATGGTAAATTTTGTTATGTATATTTTGCCAAACTAAAAAAAACAAAATAAAAACACATATTTTAAAAGTACAAAAGTATCTTCAATAATATTTTGAGATACTATTAGACACTAAAATAAAAGCATACTCATATCAAAAAGATACAGTATTTATTACTACAAAATCTCGTAAGCTACTGTGCTTCTTAGCTATAGTATGTGTTTTTTTTGTTTTTTTTTTGTTTTTAATGAGACGGAGTCTCACTCTGTAGCCCAAACTGAAGTGCAGTGGCATGACCTTGGCTCACTGCAACCTCTGCCTCCCAGGCTCAAGTGATTCTTGTGCCTCAGCCTCCAGAGTAGCTGGGACTACAGGCATGCACCACCACGCCTGGCTAATTTTTTGTATTTTAGTAGAGATGGGTTTTCACCATGTTGCCCAGGTTGGTCTCGAACTCCTGAGCTCAAGCAACCCGCCCTCCTCGGCCTCCCAAAGTGCTGGGATTATAGGCATAAGCCACCATGCCCAGCCTTAGTATGCATTTGTAAGATTCATATACAGTGCTTTTTAGGGGAGCTCAACTCTTAGAAATTTAAGGCAACATTAATTACTCCAGTATCACTTCAGTGCGGTACAGTTAGAATTCTTATTCATGTTTTGGTTGTAAATGTACTGTATTTTACTCATTCATATCATTTATGCTTCATTACCTAAAAGTATCTTATGCACAGAACTGTCTTCTTTGTTGTTGTTCAACATATAAGTATTATACTGCTTTTAGTCAAAAGTCACTTCAAGAGTTTCAGGTTAAGGGTACATACAATGTAGCATTAAAAATAACTTAGTCTGAACAAAGATCAGATAAATTTGTGAGTATTACATATAATGAATCAATGACATTCAAAGCTTTTCTTACTGTGTGTGAACTTTTAGGGTTATGGATGGTTATGGATGATTTCTGTATCATTATTTCCAAGGAGAGAATTAATTTGGATTTGGCTCAGGTGAAATTCTTGATTCAGTATTGGCTTTTATCCTTTGACCTTATTTGTGCTTCTGAAATCAATCAACAGATTAGCTCTTCCAAAATAACTTAAGCTTTGATTTTTTTCAAAGGAGCCAGCAAACAGCCTACAAATTTGGTAAGCCTCTCAAGTGTCCTATTATTGAGTGAATAGTTGTTAAAAATAGCAAGTAATCTGTTATAAATATATAAAACAAAAAGCAATGCCATCCACTATTCAATTATACAAATAGTTACCGAACATTCGTTACAGGCCAGGTGCAAGATATGTGGTGGCAAACATAGTTGTTGTCATCATAGAACTGACAGACTACGAGGGAGATCAGTTATTCTAACTCAGTGATTTCATAAATACAGGTTCACTGACTATGAGGGGTTTGAGTATCTATCATTAATTCCATGACAGATAAAGCCAAATATATTGTTTTAGCTTTGAGTGATAATAACAAAATATAATAAATTATTATGCTTACTTTAAAGTATCTTCTACAGCTTAAAATTATTGCCCAACCATCCCCCCAACAACATAAGAAAAAAAACAACTAAAGAATGATAAACAAAATGACTAGTGGCCAGTCTTCTAGGTCAAATGTAATTAAAGGTGAAAGTTATACATATTAGTGCTGATGAAAAACAAATTGTGAGTATAATTGAGATTAAGATGAAACAATGATCACATTTATAAAGTTAGCCGACATTCAGTTTACACAAAACTTTTCAGGGAAACACCTACTTGTATAATTTCATGCCTAAACTATTCTTCAGTTCTTACTCAAGATAATCTGAATGATGGATAGTAATAATTTTCCACAATATTTAAGATCACAAAGACATAAATCATTAAATGAAAATATACTTTAAGTTACCCTTAATCCACGTAAATATTTATCTCTTTATATGTCAAGCTCTGTCTCCCCCACTGGATGGTGAGCAACTTTGTTACTCATCTTTGTACTCAACAAAGCTTGGCAAATAATAGTGAAAATGATGTGATGATGATAATAAGAGCAAACATTTCCACAGTATTTGCTTACAATGTGCCAGACACTGTTGTAGGTGCTTTCATAAATTAATTTAATATTTAGTTTGCATGACTAATATATGAAATTCTCATTTTTTTTTTTTTTTGAGATGGAGTCTTGCTCTGTCGCCCAGGCTGGAGTGCAGTGGTGCCATCTCGGCTCACCGCAAGCTCTGCCTCCCAGGCTCATGCCATTCTCCTGCCTCAGCCTCCCAAGTAGCTGGGAATACAGGCGCCCACCACCACGCCCGGCTAATTTTTGTATTTTCAGTAGAGATGAGGTTTCACCGTATTAGCCAGGATGGTCTCAATCTCCTGACCTCGTGATCTGCCCTCCTCGGCCTCCCAAAGTGTTGAGATTACAGGAGTGAGCCACCACACCCAGCCCTGAAATCCCAATTTTTACATATGAGAAAATTAAAAGACAGAAATTAAAAAAATAAGTAACTTGCCTAGGATCACATAGCTTGTCAGGTTTTTTTGTTTGTTTTTTGAGACAGGGTCTCACTCTGTCACCCAGGCCAGAGTGTAGTGGCACAATCACGGCTCACTGCAGCTTCCACCTCCCAGGCTCAGGTGGTCCTCTTGCCTCAGCCTCCTGAGTAGCTGAGCCTACAGGTGCATGCCATCATGCCCGGCTAGTTTTTTTGTATTTTTTGTAGAGACAGGGTTTTGCCATATTATTGCCCAGGTTGATCTAGAACTCCTGGGCTCAAGCAGTCCTTCCACCTTGGCCTCCTGAAGTGTTAGGATTACAGGCGTGAGCCACCGCATCTGGCTAATTGTCAGCTGTAGAGTCAAGATTAAAAAAAACTTGGCCCTTTGATTCCAAAGTCTGTGCTCTTAACCACTGCCCTATACTGCAACATGGAAGGTAAATAATGAAAGTTCGTTGAATAACACACACACACACACACACACACACACACGCAGAGAGTATATGTGTGTATGTGTATTAGGCCTTCTAGGAATATGAAAATTTATATACTTACTTGGAAACCTAACAATTAAATTTTTACTTCAGACTTCCTCCCTAAAAGTCCAGTCTTAAATTCAAACTTAACAAGCCTAATATCAAGCTTTTTGCATTGTCTCACAAATCTACTTCTCATCCTGCTGCTCAGTTTTTATACTGACATCTCCGCTCTAGGTGTCTAGGTTAAAAAGTTTAAAGTCAACTCCTATTTCTCACTTTGTCCTTCTTTTTTTTGTGAGACAGTCTCGCTCTGTCTCCCAGGCTGGAGTGCAGTGGCATTGATCTCAGCTCACGGCAACCTCCACCTCCCCCGGTTCAAGTAATTCTCCTGCCCCAGCCTCACCAGTAGCTAGGATTACAGGCACCCACCACCATGCCCAACTAATTTTTGTAGTTTTAGTAGAGATGGGGTATCACCATGTTGACCAGGCTGGTATCAAACCCCTGACCTCAGATGATCCATCCACCTCGGCCTCCCAAAGTGCTGGGATTACAGGCATGAGCCACTGCGCCCAGCTTCTCATTTTGTCTTAAATGCAACTTCTCATTTACCCCGAAAGAGACTCTCTCTTTGATAGGTCTCTTGCATCTATTTTTCATTCCTACCCAGTGTTACCATCCCAATTCAAGTTCTTAGAACTTAATTCTTAGATTTATTGTAGTAACAAGCTGCTTGGGTTTCTCAATATCAAGTGAAACAATATATGTAAAGTACTCTGCCACAGGGCATATGAATGCACTCAACCGATACAGTGGGTTTCCCTCTCTAACCCATGTATCTCTAGCATATTTCTCTTTCCAAAACACTACTTTAATAACTTGCTTCCTTGGGCTATACTCTTCAATGGCTCTCAGCTATTGGACAAAATAGTCCAAATTCCTGAGAATGTCATAAGCTCCTTCAAAATTTTGTGTAACTTATCTTTCCAACCTTATCCCCAGTAGGAACCTTCCACACTTCAGTTGGGCTCTCATTGTTTCGAAAACAAACTGCATATGTATTACCTCAGGATCAGGCTTATGTCATTTTTTAGATTGTGTTTTTCAGATTTCCCATTACAATTCTTCCCATTCTTTAAGACTGCACCCTTGTCTCCCTTCTTTTCAGGTCTCCTTTCCATTCATTTTAATCCAGACAGTTTTCTTTACACATCAAATCTTTATGATACTGAATACTTATTTTATGTATGAGAGATTTATCAATCCTGTATTATAATGCTAGTGCTTTACATATATGTACACACACATACATACATACATTCTCCTAAATGGAACAGGAACTTTTTTTGTTGTTTTGAGATGGGGGGTCTCACTCTATTGCCCAGGCTGGAGTGCAGTGGTATAATAATGGCTCACTGCAGCCTTGACCTTCTGGGCTCAAGTGATCCTCCCTCCTCAGCCTCCCAAGCAGCTGGGACTACAGGCATGCACCACCATGCCTGGCTAATCTTATGTTTTGTAGAGATGATGTTTCATTATGTTGTTCCGGTTGGTCTCAAACTCATGGGCTCAAGACAGCCTCCCACCTCGGCTTCCCAAAGTGCTGGGATTACAGTTGTGAGCCACCATACCCAGCAGAAACTTTTAAAAGAAGAATTATTTTTAGTTGCCACAATATCTACCACACTGCTTTACACATCCAAATGGAGTCATGTATCACTTAATAATAGGAATACATTCT